AGTATAACCGCTATGCTATCGACCCACAGGTCGAGTATATTTTTATTCAGATATTTATATTAATATAAATATATATATATTTTAATTTGGATAGTCATGTCATATACCCAGTGTTACTGTTAGTAGGAGAGTGAATAGAAATTGATAGTGCTAGTCTAAATCAGGACAGTAATTAGATATAAGTAGATTGTAAAAAATATATATATTGGTATATAGATTAGTGATTTGAACCGAGAAAAACTCTCTTAATCGGTTAACCGAACCTAATTATTTTATTCAACCAGTTAAGATTAACATCTACACTGCCTTCGGAAATTCTCGGAGCATTACTCTAATTTTTTGTCTCGACCTACTTGTCTATTATGTTCATTTATTTTTTGTCAGAACTTTATGAATCCTTACTCTCTCATATGTCATTTGACATTTTCTCATATCATATTGATTTAACCGATTAAGAATTTTCTCAACCGGTTACCCAAAATTTATTCGGTTCGGTCGGTTAACCGATTATAGCTCAACCGATTCAAGTCACTAATATAGATTAGAGATATGTATAGTTTAGTAAGTGTGTGTAAGTAATTGTAAGTGTGCAGTGTATATGTTAGTAAGTATAATATTGCAGTAGATATATTGAAATATAGAGATATGATATAATGAAATAATTACTCAGATAGCTTTATTATAAAAGAGAAATCACTCAGATAGAACCTGAAGATACAAGCAAGATAAATTCAAAAGACTTTTATATATGGAAGAATTCCTGCAGCTGTCATTGAATGACTTGGCAAGAATTACAAGATATCATTGACAAAATTCTACAACTTTTTAACTGTAAATGATCAATGAGATTAACAATATCCTTTACTCTCCATCAGTTTCTGAATACTTTCCTAGCAACCAAACTTATCCAATTTGAAAGTAGCGACAATTGGGCAATCGTGAACTAAAATAGAAAATGCATAATTCTCAATCATACACTTAAACATCTAGCTGAAAATAACAAAGACTATCTAATTAATTATACGCAGAGGGAATTAAAATAATAATAAATAATAAAATACAAATAAAGAAAATATAATACATGTAATTAAATAAATAATAAAGAAAATAAAAATATGAGCACAGAATGATTTTGAGGGTAACAGACTCTCTTTCTTAATTTTCAAGCTCTTGTGAGAATTACATAAATAAATACAGTCAACTCTCTCTATACCAAACTGCATGTTCTGGGGTTTTTTGTTTGGTATAGAGTTAGTTTGCTTTATACAGTTCGCTTTTTATACCAAACTGTTCGGTATAAGTAGTGAACCAATAAAATTATATATATGTGATCACGAATCATATACAGTATACGTATTATACATATAACAATAAAATTTATTTATAACTTTATATAACTATTTAAAAAAGGTGCATATGTATACACATACAAATATACATATCTGATATAGTAAAAAACTTTTTATAATGTATATATATATAACATACAATATTGAATAAAATAAAAAAAATTCTATTCAGTATAGTACATCTGCATGTATGTATATACAGTATTGAATAAAAAAAAAACTCTAATTGATATTCTGAAAGTAGTTATGGAGATTAACCTGTTTAAGATTTTTTATAACATTTTACTAAACCCTCTTGTGTAAATTTCTTAAAACCCTTACTTCTTCTTCAACGTTTCCAAACTCAAGACCCTATTTGTATAAATATCTTAGTGCTTTGTTCATACAAATTTCTGCCTCCTTGTCATTAATTTTCTCTTGTTCAATAGATTCTTCATTTTCTTCCTCACTTTTCTCCTCATTTTCACTTTTGACAATTTTCAAGATTTCTTTTTCAGTAAGCTCGCCTTTAACCTCACCATCCTTAGCATAGATATATTCATATATGGTAAGAGAATCATCTATTGATAAGCAGCCAATTAGATCTAAAAGTCTTGATTCATTATTTGTATTGCTAAAAAATTTTGATTTTTTTTTATTTTATAAAAATATAACAGTAATAATTATCAATGCATCAAAAGTTGAAAATTAATAAATGCATATTTTAAGTTTTACTAATAAGCGTATGTCTTTAAAAATAGAGGTATAAATGTAATGCTATAACTTGTAATTAAAATAAGTTGTAGTTTATTATAATTATAATAAGTTTTGGCATTATATTTATACTTCTATTACTAATTACCTATTTTGATCAAGTTCAATAAGTTCTTCGAAGTCATGATTATTATATGGAAGAATACCAGTTTTTCGCTAGCAGTTTCTAATCGTATTTGGTGAGACTATAGACCATGCTTCAGCTGTATTAATTATAGCATTATAAATATTATATAAGACTATTTAATTTACTACTTTATTTTGCATATTGTCATAGGCATCAATGTGGTTTTGGACAAAGAGCCGTTTATAGTGGCACTTAAATGAATAAATGATTCCTGTGTCATAGGGTTGGAGAATTAAGGTTGTATTTGGTAGAAGAAATTCTACTCGCAAACAATCTAGTTTTATCAAGAATAATATGTACTAGTGCATTATCAACTAGAAGTATAATTTTTCAATTGTTTAGTTTTATTCGATTGTTAAGCTTAAGGAGGAGATCGTTAAAGATATTAACTTGCATCCAAGCTTTTTTGTTTCAATAATAGTATACAGGAAGATTGGCATAATTAAGATTTTGTAATAGACGTGGCGTTTTACAAGTATGAATAAAAGCAAGTTTTATTTTTTAGTTTCACTTGCATTTGCAGCACATAATATTGATACATATGATTTTTCTTTTTTGTGTCTAGCTAATCTTGAACAAGCTAAAGTACGAGAAGGCTTTATTTTCCAGTAAAGTCCTGTTTCATCAGCATTCCAAATATCTTCAAGATTATAAGATTGAAGTAATTCTTTTAAGTTAAGTCAATCATTTTCTATTTGTTCTATAGGAGGTGCACTTGCTAATTCACCCTTTTTATTAAATTGGCAGAGACCATACCATTTTTTGAAACCAGTTAACCAACCATTGTAAAAATCATCAATAAGAAAGTAATCTGCAAAAAACTTTGCCTTTGTCTTAAGAATATGATCATCAATATCTTGACCACTATTAAACGCATTATCTACCCAGAAATCAAGAGCTTCTTCAAGCTTTGGCTACTTTGGCCCATGAAAATTTTTTACTTTACCTTCTTTTTCAGTTGTAATAGCTAACTAATATTTTTTTTCCTTCAGGATATCTGTTATTGTTAATTTTCCAACCTGATACTTATTTGCAAGATCTACATTTTTTATATTTGGATTCATTTCTTTTGCTATGCAAATATCATGTTTTTGCATTGCAGTAAGAATTACTTGTTTTTTTGTTAACATCATGCCAAGGTAAAGTATCGATAACCCGTAATTACTAGATAATTTATATCAGAATTTCTAATAATTTAACAAATTTATGAACTTGTTATTACCTTAATATAGTATTCATACAATTCTATGATTTGTATATATGTTGTATGAGAAGTATAAATAATGTAGCATGCCAAGCTGTTTTTAGCTAAGATACTTATGCCATATACTGAAAATTGGGGCACATTGTATTCTTATTTTTATTATTCAAAAAAAAAACAAAAGCAGAATTATCAGGTCGGATTACTTACTATACTAGCCAAAAATAAGTACCCAGTATGCTAAATAGCATATTTTAATAGTTAATAATATGATTTTGCAAATATTTATATTCGCGAAATCAGATAATAAACTATGCAGTACTAATACTGTAGAACAATTTATTTAGAGTACAAATCAAAAATCCTAATTAACTTGATTTGTGCAACAATCTTTGAAGAGAAATACTTTGAATAATTCTTTAACAAGGTGATTGTATGCCCTAATTGCAGTAATAAGTTTTAACTTAATAGTTATTATCTCAGAAAGATAAAACCTTTGACCCAAATTTTGGGGATTATAAAAGATAAGTTTTATTATAAATTTAGTTGTTACTTTTATCTACATCTTTATTTAACTGACTAACTATTCTATTTTGGGGCTTTTAAAGATCTTGTTTCTATCATTTCTTTATACTACAGATTGTTCTCAAATTACAATGAGCATTCTATTTCTGATTTGGTCTTATACTTTAATCATCTAATTGTTAGATTTTTGGGGAGATTATGCAGGTTTTAATTCAATTACAATTATATCAATTAGACAACAAAATATAGTTAATATCTAGTCATAGTTCTCTAATCATGTTCTTTGTGCCAATGCTAATGTCAAAAAATCATACAATTAGTAAAAAAGCTAATTATAATATGATAGAGTAAAACCTGTATTGATTGTGGATACGAAAAGGGTATAACTCGTGTTTTTTAATTAAATTTTTAGCTATTGTGAAAATATAATTTTATTTAAATTTTTATATTAGTGAATGAAAGTGAAACTTTAAATTGATTATGTAATTATCATATTAAGTCACATGATAATTCATTATATAGAAATATGTATACATAGTTCCTGGCTAGAAAAAAAGAGTTCAGATGTGGTATAAAGAAAATTACTATTTTGGTTTGGTACAGCCAGCTTAAATTACTATAAAAAATTTTGTTTTGCCAAATCAGGTTCACTATAACCTGATTTCAGTATAGACAGGTTTGGTATAGAGAGAATCAACTATACAAGGGTTTCTTTCAGTTTTGAATTGCCTACTAACTCATGGCAAATATTAATAAAATTCTCAACAAGATCCTAAAAATCTTCAAATAGGACCCTAAACTATTTTAATGACCCTGAAGAGATTTGCGCTTAAAAAACATGTCGCCAAGAATTCTTTAAAATTAAAGAAAGAAAGTTTCCCGAACATGAGGTAATTTTCAAAATATTTAAATGCTTTGCATCTTTTTTAAGAAACTTGAGAAAGACTTCATACTAGGGAGTATACAGTAAAATTCTCTTAGCCCTAGTATTCGAAGGGTACATGATTGTATCTTCCTAGCTTTGAAATTCATCGATATAGATACTCTAAAAGGAATCATTATCTTGTATGTCCAAAGTACAAGAGGTAAGTGTGAGAACTGAATCCTTGTTTAGGTTCTTTAACATGTCTCTGAAAAAGAAAATTGTTGTTTTTTTTTTAAATTAATAAATTGGATAGCATGATAGGAAGCAGCTTCTTTTTAATCCATTGGTTAAGAGCAATCTTCTCATTAGATTCACTTCCTTTATTTTCTAACTATAACACCTGAGCTGTGTCTTTCCTACAGCTTATACTTGCAAGGCTTCATTGTCGAAGTTGTAATTGCTAGGGCTTCTCTTGAAATTTACCTCTTGAAAACTTTTAGAAAAAGAATTTGACAAATCAGAATTAGGCTCATAATCATCTGAGCTCTCAGAGGTCTCTTGAAATTGTACTGGGGACAAATGTTCAGTTAAATTGGAACCCAAGCTTTGGCTAATCTTTGATGTATATAGAAATATATATTTGGAGGCAAAATATTGATATTGGCAGCAATTATAGCAGATTATAGATTTCATCTTTTAGAACTTTGGACTTTGCGTTAAAGAAGCTAAAGACCATATAATATCAGAGATCCTTATCGGTGGAATCAATTGGTCCAAAATCTGAACAAGTTGGTAATATTTGGTTAGCAAAGAAACCAAACGACTAAGTTGATGGATCATTGTATTGTCCATGCAGAGAAGAAGGATGTAGTATATAAGATGGGTAGAGTAAGTGTGGGGATAGAAATATGATGCAGAATAGTTATAGTATAGGGTTTTAAAATTTATATAAGTGGTTTTGTTGTAGTTGAACTCTGAAGTACATTATTTGAAGTCCACACAATCAGCACCATATGTTATTGTCAGCAGGAGAGCGAATAGAAATTGATAGTGCCAGTCTAAATCAAGACAGTAATTGAATTTAAATAGGTATATGAAAAATATGTATATTGGTATATAGATTAGATAAATGTGTATAAGTAATTGTAAGCACGCAGTGCATATATTAGTAAGTATAATATTGCAGTAGATATATTGAGATATAGCAGTCGGGAATATTTCCATATTTAGTTTGTATAACAGATTGCATTTTAAAATGCTAAAGATCAGTTCCAGAATGATCTATAAAATTTCTCGGATTTTTATTGGCCCATAGTCATACTTTTTTAACCGAAAGATTTAAACCTTTTTGATATCTATCAATAATTAATAACTATATACATGAAAAGTAGAAGATACAAGGTTTTATAATCAATCAAAAATCAGTTATAATCAGTTTTTTTTGCCAAAGTAAATGAGACTTGAAAAAAGGTAGTTTTAAGCTTATAACTCTTAGTTTATTGAATTTCTACATTTTTATAACTACTTTTTTTTTTTATTATAGCATTATTGTTATAGTAATATAATTTTTTTTTTCTGCAGTAATATAAGTCTTTTCATACTTTGTACTTGTGAGTTTGGTTTAAGATCTGAAACTAAATTGATTCTGAATCTAGAAACGTCTCATATCTACTAGTGATGCAGTAGAATCATTCCACTAATTGCTATTACTAGTTATGACATAAGCTTTAGTCAGTTACAGCTTAAGTTGTAATATCTTGAGACGATTTTACTGCATCACTAATATCTACCCACAATAGTAATGCTTAATGTAACTATATGACATTGACTTGCAAACCCAGAAACGAAAGGCAAATATGATTTATGCTTTTGAAATAAATTTTGCTTAATTTATTTATAAGATTTTTTAAGAAATTATACTGAGAAAGTGAATTGTATTATAATAGTTATCATGGTTTACATATTATGGTTTAGCATAATATAACGTCATTCTTAATAAAATATTTACAAAATTATGGTCGTTTTCTGATCAACTATTTTTTTAATAATAGATTTCTTGTAGTATCATTTTCTGGACTTTTTATTATACCTTAGTTTTTTTCTATCTGTAACATATTGATTAGAGCATTCTTAAGTATTTCCTTTAATGGGTTTAACGAACAACTCAGCTATGCCTACCTATTTTTTCTAGAGTTGCTTTTAATTGGTATAAAATCTGTATTTCGCACACGAATCTATTTACAATTAGCATGTTTATGGTTATATTCAGACATGTGCAAGTTATAAGACTTTTAAAGTCTTAATAAACTATTAGATAAATTATTAAAGCAAATTAAACTGATAAATAAATAACTTACTTCTTTAAAAAATCAAAATTATTCTCTTTAGTTTGGCCAAAGTTTTGGGTGCAACGTTGCTGGATGGTTCATATTGTTGAGTTTGAAAACGGCGAGTCTAGAATTCTCGTGCTATGTCAATTTCAAGGCTTGAATAGAGGCGTAAATATGATTTGGTGAGTATGTATTTTATTTAGGTTTAAAGTTTTTATTTATCGAAAGAATTTTATTAACACTTGATCTTTGCCCTTACTAATATTATTTCAGGCGCATGGAAGATATGTACTTTATTAAATTTTCTTTTCTCTTTTATACATTTTGTTTTTCTATACTAATTTCATTTCTTTCCTTTTTCTTCTAAATCCCTTTTTCGCCATCTCCATTGACTCCACCATACTATTTGGCCGTTTCACTGGATTTGGGTAAATTACTTCTACGTTTTCTATTTTTAACTATTCTACTTTTATTAACCCGCCTTTTCTTTCTTTAACACAAACCTACCCAGATCCGCCATTTTGAAACTTCATTATTATCTCTCGATTCGGTGATGCGCCTCGTCTATGAATCATGCGATTGTATGGGGCCCAAATATGCGGGTTTCACCCAATTTGGGTTGATCGTGAATGCCAAAATCCGGGCATCGTCATTGTATGCACGATCATTGATCGTGCATCAATCCAGGTCCCGATCATCGTTTGAGTCACGTTTTGTGTGGTCACGATTTATACTGCCTGTGACAATATACTCTTATATAGTTATAATTAGCACTATCAACTTTTCGTATGCCATGCAACCAGAGTGCTTTGTATACAGATCCAAATCCACCTTTGCCAATTTTTATAATACAGTATTACTTAGTCTATCAAATGGAATTCATCTTCATATACACGGGCTCTAAGTTGGATTCTTTCATACAATCATCAATACATTTGTCCGCCTTATTGCTATGTCAGGTTGCACAATAGATACCATGCTTTATTGGTGTTATCTCCATTACAATGTGCACACTTTTCATACATCAACAAATTCATTTGTTTACCATCTTTGACTTTAGTGATTGTTTAATCAGTCCTTAAATAAAACAATGAATATGTCAGATTACTTATGAACTACTACATATAGCATATAGAGAAACTTTAACATGTTAAATTGCTACCTGATCAGATCTGTATTTGCATTTTACTTTTCGCATACACTTTCGTACATACGTACTTAAAAGAAACACCTTAAGTCATATTTCAAGAATAAAATACCATATAAAATATTAGAATGCACTTTAAATTATTTGAAATCAGGTTCTAAGAGTTATATAATGTCAACTTAAACTATTCCTAGTAAACTGGTCAAAAAAAAAAAAAATTATTATACTGAATATATTTATGAATTTAATTGGCTAGTTGACATGTGAATCTAGAATTATCTGATTAGTGGTATTATACTATAAAAGGTATGATTGATACTGTCCAAATATAGAAAAATCCCTGACTGTATAGAGATATAATATAATGAAAAAATTACTCAGATAGCTTTATTATAAAGGAGGAATTACTCAGATAGAATCTGAAGATACAAGCAAGGTGAATTCAAAGAACTTTTATACATAGAAGGATTCCCACAGCTGTCATTGAACAACTTGGCAAGAATTGCAAGATATTATTAATAAAACTTTTACAACTTTCCAACTGTCAATGATTAATGAGGTTAACAATGTCCTTTACTTTCCATCAGTTTCTGAATACTTCCTTGGCAACTAAACTTATCCGATTTGGAAGTAGCAACAATTGGGCAATTGTGAACTAAAATAAAAAAACTGTGATTCTCAATCATATGCTTAAACATCTAGCTGAAAATAACAAAGGCTATCTAATTAATTATATGCAGAAGAAATTAAAATAATAATAAATAATGAATTAATTTAAAAATCACTGGGGGTAAAATTTACCGGCCTAAGAGTTGTTAGAGTTAGGGTATTAAGAATTTTTTTTATATAAAATAACATAAAGCTAATAAAAGATCCTGATCTCAGTTTTTAAGGTTTTTAGGGGTTTTGAACATTTTTACTTAAAGTACCCGATTCCATTTACTTAGTACATTTTTGAGATACAGCACCCCGATGAACTTTACCTTTGGTGAGTGTTAAAATCATCTATAAATAATAAAATACAAATAAAGAAAATATAATATATGTAATTAAATAAATAATAAAGAAAATAAAAATATGGGTGCAGAACGATTTTGAGAGTAATACTGGCTTTATTTATGCACTTTAATTATTCAAAAATAATTGACACACAATGTCATTTTTGACAGAAAAACTGGAATAGCTTACCCAGTTACTTTTAGATATCTATATGCAACCTGCCAAAGATAAGTTCAGCCTCTTCGATTTGGTTCTTTCTACCTCAAAGTGACCCACCCAGATCACTGGCCTGGTTCATCAGCCCCTCATAATTGTCTTCTTTTGCAACTTTCTTCTACTGCAAGCAAAATTTTGTTACAGATCTTATTCACTATTCTGGTAATCATAATATAATATGTGATTAAATTTTAGTTAGTTTTATTGGAATATCAAATTGTAAGTTATTATAAACATTTTTATTACAAACTTACTATTTTTATACCACAATATGTAGTTAAGTTAGTTTATATTGAATTTGTCATAATTTCTATTGTAAGTTACTGTAAATAATTTTGTTACAAACTTACTTGCTATTTAATTAACTATAATATGCACTTAAGATGAGTGAGTTAGTTTGTATTGGAATTGAGCTACTTAATAAATTATATTACTGTACTTATTTGCTATTTCAGTGACCACAATATGCAAGTTACTATAAAGAAATCTATCATAAGACTAACTTGCTATTTAGTGACAGTTAAATCTTAGATAGTTTGCATTAGAATTGTTGTAGTTTCTATCATGATTTGCTGTGAATTATTCTATTACAAAACTTACTATTCTGGTGATTACAATATATGATTAATGTGATTTAGTTTGCATTAGAATTGTTGTAGTTTCTATCATGATTTGCTGTGAATTATTCTATTACAAAACTTACTATTCTGGTGATTACAATATATGATTAATGTGATTTAGTTTGCATTGAAATAAATGTAATTTCTATCATGAGCGACTGAAAAATTCCATTACAAAACTTATTTACTTTTTTGATAACTACAATAAATTGTTAAGGTGATTTAGTTTACACTGGGATTGTCATAATTTCTATTGCGAGTATTATTACAGAACCTACACTCAATTTTAGTAATTTCTATTATTAGTACTGTGAATGTTCTGTTGAAAACCTGTTACAGTAAAACCTCTATAAGTATACTCTCTACAAGTGCACACCCTCTAAATGCACACTCAAGTTCTGGCTCAAATATATACATGCCCCTATAAATGCATGTTAAAGCTTGGTCCCAAGAGAATACACTTATAAAGGTTTTACTGTGTTATTCTTTTGACACACAGCATGCAGTTCACAAATGCATGTTATTAAC